TTCTCATATACTTCTATTTCCAGGTACTATTTAAGGAAAAAGCTCCAAATGTCTAATTCTGATCCACTGGTAAACATTTCAAAGGTCTTTGTTATTTTTGAAGACGTAGGATGAAATCGTAGAGCCAATTTCTGAATTTGCTACTTTAACAATTAAGGGTTAATTTAGAAGTAAGGTTTGTTTTAGGCTTTTGGTGAGAGAAGGGTTAATTGTTAGGTCAGGTTTGAGGTTTGGAGTGAATGCAAGTTGGATGAATCTTTTTAACTTATTTCCAGTAAGTCAAATCCGCTTTGGGCTACTGGCGCCAAAAAACAATTTACTTCCTTTTTTCTGTTACAGGTCATGCTACCGCTGCCTTGTTAGAGGTTCTATATTGTATTTTGTCAGAATCTGTCAAATGCCCAGACTTAGTGACAGTGAAAGAACAAACCGTTCAGAAGAAAAAAAAATTCAGAAGTGCGAGAAACAAGTTGTTTATGCAGGATTTATCCCTAAAAAGTCTGAGAAAGGCAACACTGCGCTTTAATTGGTCTGTTTTTATAGACTCCAAAGCCATTATAGAAATCATAGTGTGCCTATTAGATAGTACTTGTGCAGAGGACTAGTTTAGGAATTAATGCATGAGCGGAACGAAGGCAGAAAGGAGTGGTTGTCTGTAGACCAGTTCTTATTCAAAATCTCCAATCACACCCACAGGCAAGTATAGCAAGTGCAGTATAACAACCATGTAGCATAATGGAGATTATACTAAACAATAAAAGCAGAACTCCAGGGAAAAAAAATAAAACATAAACAGAAGTTCAAAAATCTCCATTTATATGCCCCACATTTACAGACTACATTACTTTCATAGCTGCAAGCTAATACTTGTTCACAACTCAGCATCTCTAAAATCATGGTAAGAGAATTCATCCCATGTGCTGGACAGCTATGCTATAGGGGAAAACACGTCACACAAGTACACCGGTGTTCTCCCTTATTGTAAGCATGGAAAAAAAGTCCTTGCATTGCTTACCTGCCCTCTTATCTGGGTAAAGATCCCTTTAATGGTACAGATTCTACTTGGTTACTGCAAAGGTCCAGGTTGAATTAGACTATCTACTATTAGTTATAGTATGACCTTGATAAATTAGAATCTTCACAGAAATATTTGCAATTTGTCCAGGTCTACAAGCCTCCTTATCATAAAGTACTATTTCCACAAACCACAAATTGGTCACAGCTTTTATAAAATCTGCTGTGATTAAGAAGCATTTTGAACACACATTCTTTGCCAATTTCTTTCTATAGCCATACAAATGTTCGTTTTAAAGCTCCATGGAAACAAGCTATGCAGCTCTGAAAGCCATATAAGGTCCCATAAAATGTGAAATAGTAGTTAAAGGAACAATAACAGTATCAGTAACAGATTAATAAAGTTAAATAAGGCTTTCTGAATTGCATCTGGTGGGTGTTTAAATATTTACTAGTTATAATTGTATGCTATTGTTCTCTTCTGACATCTTACTCCAATTCCAGTAATTTCACGCTATATTAGGTTAAAAGAGGCAAGAGAATGAACATGGAGATACCACAAAGCTGAGGGATTTTAACACATTTGTTGTCTTGTCCATGAATCCAAAAGTACTGGAGGGAGCTACACCTTTTGAAAACACAAATTACTGGCGATACCATTGATTTTAGTCCTGCAACCCATCTTTTTCCTTTCAGTACTGCTCCTATGGCCTGCTCCACTAAAACCCTTCTGAAACACCTCACTAACTGCACTGCTGCACAATAATCCCGCAACATTGGCAATCAGAGGCCGTTCTAACACTGAAATAATGGACTGACTATGTAGACTACATTCAATGCAATTCAAAAATAATTGGTCACTATTCAAACATATGCCAATTTATAAAGAACTAGAAAAGCTACAATTTCTGGGGAAATTGTGTGAAGTGTTCTTGCCTCCACCAGTAGTCTACAACTGGAGTTGGCAGAGTAACTGGGTGGAGTGGCTTGAGTATCTATTGTGTGGTTGGAGTGGCTAGAGTAACTGTGAAAAGGTTGGACTGGGCAGAGTAACTTTATGGAGTGGGCAGAGTAACTATGTGGAGTGTTTGGAGTGAGTAAAGATAGTAAACATTACACTAACCAATTGACTGATCAAATTTAAAAAGTGCACATGGCAAGCTTGATAGAGTGAGAAATGCATTTCAACTTTTATTTTTCAGCTCACACTCTAGCTTTTGTCACTCTGCTGCCTGCTCACACAAAAAAAAAAAAACTGCTCCAACTTGCTCACTTCACTGGTGGTTGCCATCTTCAAACGGTTGTAGTTTAAAAAATTATAAATCCTACACCGAAGAGCTTTATATTGTGAGACCCAGACCTACATTATGATGCATAGTATGTCTCTGAAATATTAAAAATGAAGGCACAGTCGCAGTTTATAAATTGCCCTTCAAATCTGAGGTGGCTAGAGTGGAGTTTCAATGAATGTGAATCAACAGCATGAGTTGCAAAACAAATGGTCATATTTTGAAAACTATCAGGATTATGGCTTAGCCGTGGACATTTTTAGTGGCAGCAGGGATAGCTGAACGTTTTGATATAAGATTTGTGTAGGTGGGCTTGAAAATGAGGGAGTGATGGCAGTTTCGAAATCATGTCCTGATTTTTCAGCTCACACTCTAGCTTTTGTCAGCTCCCACTCTAGTTTTGAACATTCCGCCATTCATTCCTATGGGACCAATTTCACCACCAAAACGCCGATATTTCGTGAACCATTCGGCGAAACGTTCCACAAAGTAATAACACACCAATCGGGAACAATCCGCACGTTTCGGTATATTACTGGCTATGTAGGGTAAAAACTGTGGGAGGAATTAGGGTGGTAAATTTTGCTATAATAATAATAAGAAGAAATATGTGAGATAACAGTAAGTGGTCTTGCCATGCAAGAACACTTTAAATATAGCAAAAGGGGTGAAGAGGAGCAGAATATACTATAGTAAAACTATAAAAAGACTGCGGATCATGGATATCCTTTTTGTTCTAAGGACAGGGCACCTGAACGATGATCTCAGAGGGGATTCTCCCATACCCATCTCTGGTAAGCCGGGCTCTTCCTTCCATACTCCATTATATGAAAAGTATAGATTATAGATTGAGATCTCCTATACTTTTGCGCTGTAAAAACCTATTCTAAGTCTTTTTTTGGGATAGCCTTTGGATCTGAAGAGTAATTATGGACCAATACCAAAACAAGCTCAAGCACATATGGGCAACGCCTCAGTGATGCCTTTAGATGCTATACAATGTAAAACTCAATGAGGAGATATGTGCCAAAAGAGTTCTGCAAACAAACACGTCTCTAGTATTTAGTAAGGTGATAAACAAGCTTTGATTAAAGAAAACCTATGCAGGTAAAAGCAACACGTTTTCTTTAAATTATCCCCCTTCCCGTTCCCAAAATGCTCACCTTTTCTTTGCTTCCCCTCCTCTCTGGTCATTTGCTAGAAGAAAATTTGTAGGAATCCACTTATAATAGAGAGAGTGGATATCACTGTACACTCTGTTATACTTTACAGTACTGCTGCATACCTTGACCTGCATTTTGCAGCCCATTCATAAAATGCAGTGCCTACAGTACCTTACAATGTTCTCCCTAATTAATACTTACGGGCTTCGTTTTCATTTATGAATGTTACACTCTGCTGGCTTCAGGCTCTTGAAGCCAGCAGAGTTCAAAGTAGGATTTTAAACCACTGGGAAACTGGAAAAAACATATGAAAAGGAGCTGGGAGCAATATATGCTAGCTGGATAGAAGATGACATAATATTTACAGTATTTGCAATATTTTATGCTTATCTGACAACATATTTAATATACTTATTTTTAAAATATAATTATTTTGAATTTGATGTTTAGTCCTAACAACAAAAATACAAAATGTGTTATATATTTCCCTTAACTAACAATTTCCAGATAAAATCTTCAACAAAAATATTTGTTTTTGATGCACACCATAGTTAAATCATTCAGCTAGTTATATTTCCTGGGGACTCTCAAAGGAAGATTTTCCAATGTCCTTGTACTCACCGAGCAAAAAAAAGTATGATACGACAAAAGATGAGCGATAATGAGAAAATCTAATGGCAAACCAAAACAAATCTGGGTGGAGTTTTCCCTTTACAAGCAAACATAAATCAACTAACTGCCTTGGGTAGATTAACAAATTTAAAATTTTCTGGTGAAGTTTCAAATGCCTTCAAGCAACTACTCCTTCAAATGTTAGATTTTATTTGAATAGATATCATGGATCAGTCCAAAAAGTTCTTTATATGATAAAAGTGACATTTTACAATATTAACATTCTACTTTAATGTGGAACGTGCACTTAAATTGCTTGCAACATTAAAGTGAAACTGCACCTGAGCATCACAAAAAAAAAAAAAAAAAAAAAAAAAAAAAAAAAAAAAAAAAAACCACACAACACAACACAACACAAAAAACAAAAACACAATTTAATTAATTTATAATATTCAAAACAGACTCACCCATCCATCCATGTCTTCATATTTTAGTTAGCTGAGAAATCACTTTGAAAAACACCCACCTAACATTTCTACCCATGACCATCTTGAGTAAGGGCAGATGGTTCATGTCACATTTACTTCCTGGAATTCATCTGCCCTTAGCTCAAGCATGCAGAGAGGACAGTGTGCCTAGCCGAGAAAACCCCTCTTCCCCTCCAGAGATGTTTGCTTAGAACTGGAAAGCAAAAAGTAACTAAAGAAAGTAACTAAAGAAATTTAAAAACATGTTTAACATAAGTAAATACGACATACCTTCCCATCTCATTTCTAATGCTAGCAGCATAAGGAATAAAAATAGTCAATCTTGATTGAGAGAGTGATGTTCCACTTTAAGAGCAATTTGATATTTAAAAAAAATTAAATAAAAAACATTGAATATTAAAACATAAGAAATGAGTGTGTTGATTCCAACCTACCTATGACAGCAGCTGTACGGACAAGCTTTGGTTCCTCAGAGTACCACCTTGCACCTGAGGGATGGCTCCATTTTGCAGCCTCCCTTTCTGAGAAGAAGGCATACTGCTGGGCTTGAGGCTGGCCTGTAGCCCACAGAGACAGGAACAGCTGCCTTTCCTTTTCCACACCACGATGGTAAGGCAGAAGGACGGATGCTCGCACAGCTTCAATACAGGCCATGGGAGCCTGGGCACCACGGAACTGCTTCTTTGTTTTCTCCACTGTAGTATCTAGAAAGTCCTCCATATTGAGATTAGAGGAGATACGGAGAGTACTCAGCCTCCGTTTATTCAATGGAAGTCCTAAAATGGAGGGAGAAAATTAATTGAAGTAAATCATTTATCTAGTGCAGTCTTTTGCATGTAGACTATTCATGGTTTTTAATTTTGGTTACTTCCTGCTGTAAAGTTCACATTTAGAAAGTCCAGCAGGCTCAGATAGACACGAACTACCATGGATGAACACAGACTTAGGTTCTGAGATTTGTTAATGTGGACGGATGGATGCAAACTGGCAGATATCAGAGGAGGAGGACAGACTTAAGATATGATGGTGGGACAAAAGCCACTCTCCCACCTTAGAAAAGTTCCACCCACTTTTGAGTCATTCCAAAAGTAGGTGGGGCTTACCACAACAGTGGACAGGCCTTACTTGACAGTTTCAACAGGGCTCAGACTGTGTTCATGATGTCAGAACCTGCTGATTACACAGATATAATTTACAGATAGTTCACAGAAGAGTCTATTATACACAGTTAACAAACAATTACCATTATAAAATAAAATGACAACAGAAAATTAAACCAATCTGAACACAGCATATTCCAATCATAGATTAGTCATATAGTGTTGTATACATAGTGGCCCAATTGGTTTAATGCCACTCCATTTTAGTTCTCTATAACTAGTAGCAATTTTGAATTCCTACAATACAACGTAACAAGCTAACATTATGTAAAAAGAAAAAAAGTCAAATATAATGTCCTTCAGGGTTTCTGTCACAATATCCATACAATTCTGTTTGAGGAATCTATATAAAACATTTCTATTGCCAGTCTGCCAGCCAAACTCTTAGCAGCTCAGAACTGCTCTGAATCACAGCTTTGGAGAACAGAGTGAGTGAGCACAACTGCTGACAGAATGACTTGAAGAACTTCAGTTTTCCTGCTATGAACTTTGAAAATCATTTTCTCCACAGTGACTGCAGCTACAGAGATCGGGTATAACTTTCTTGAATAGCCATAGCCTAGCCACAGGTGAACTTTAACAGACAAAAAAGACAAAGAAGAAACCTAAGAAAGATGGAGGTTGTGATTGACATGGAGCAGAATATAAAAGAAACTGTACACAATCCATATACAGTCTGGAACTGAACAGTGATGTTGTCTAGCAATTTACCAAATTGGCAGTCATTTGGCAAACCCTCCATACCACATTAAATTGTTTTAACAGCACCAACTTTCATACAAATCAGTTACAAAAAATAAATAATACATACATACATACACTTCCACCTGATGTTCTGGTTTCCAAACCCAGGCACATACAAAATACGGAATACCATACTTTTCTTATTTTAAACATCTGGTAAGCATATAAATTACCAAGGCAATGAAAAAAAAAAAAGCTGTTTTGCTGAAAAATGCTTCCATTTATTAATTACTCTTATTTTTTGTAGCACTTCTCTTCTTGCTGCAGGCTGCGAAATACACCAATGTATCACAAGCACATCCAAAATCATAGGATGCTCCTTAACCCCTGGAGGAGAGAGGTGACAGATGGAAACAGCTCTTTTATCTCATTCAGTTTAGGGAAGCAAAACAAGTGACAGCATTTCTTCAAATGTTCTGCTGAGACATGAGTATGGGCTGAAAACTGGTGGCTGCTAAGTAGTTCAACTAAATCTTTCTATCCTAAGGAAAAATATCTGTTCCAAACATGATGGTCTCAGTCCATTCCTCAAACAGTATTACCAGCTGTGAAATGGTTTCTTTTCTGTCCCCTCTGGCAGAGATGGAAAAGTATAGTCTTCACACATTAACTACACAGCACTTAGGGGCTTCTTCCTCTTACCAGACTCATTATTAATTTTTACGGGTCTGATTTCCAAAATGAAAAATAGATCAAAAAGAGTTGGCAATAGTATTTAGATTCAAGATGATGTTTTCCAAGTGCAGGTTAAAATTTTAAGGACAGCTGAAAGGAGACATGGAGCAATATGTCTATTGTTCATTTGCTGGCTGTCATAATTCCCATTGCGCCTAGTGCACGAAGTGTACATCTAGTACACGGAGTTGCTCAATAAAGCGGTTTGATAAAAACTTGCAGGTGATGTGCTGTTTCATAGACAAGAGAGAATCATACTGGTCTATCTACTTACAATTTGCAAAAAGGCCCTTAAATAATGAAAAACATTGACAAATGTGCATGTATTTGACAAACTGACAAGCTATGCATTATGACATTTGTTTTATTTTCGCTTGGATTTTACTTACCACCAAGGTCTAGCAACCCTCTTTCTTAAAGTGAGGGTTTACTCATAACAACTTGATAAAAAATAATGAGGTTCTTTAGCAAGGAACATGCATTCCCACATTAATAATTAAGCTACCAAAATTAGTGTGTGCTGTAAATTGCCTCCAGCATTGTTCCTGTTTCCTCCTGCTGGAGGCTGCCATTTTGTTGAAGCCCAGAGTCTTGACCAACATTAAATCTTTAAGCGGTCAGCAGATCGGCCTAAAATTTTGGCACAGTGCCTAAAAATAGAGAGCAACTAAGCATGTGCAGAGCAGGGTGAGACAGTGTATTACTGGATTTTAAACATTATAGGCACTTATTTGTAATGTTTTACATAGTTATACCTGCAAAAGGAGCCATGCTGAACTGATCTAGCAGGACTTAATTGTCTGATTAAAGTTCTACTTTAATAGGAGCAATCTACTTCATTTTCTATGCAGTTTTTGTGCCAGACAAGACAAAGGGCAGGGGAGCTAGTTGTGTCCCCTTGCTCAGCACTCTGAAATAGAAAAGGGTGTGGGTGGCAGAGATGGACCCAGAGTGGGTCTATCTGCTTTGGTAATGTGGTGCATGCCATTGTTGCCAGTTTCCTGGGCTGAAGTTTTGGGCTGACGCCATATGATCTAGACGTGAACCTGTGCTTTGCCCATGGAGGACAAAGCAACAAGTTCACGGTACTTTCCCCTTTTACCTTCTTTTTTTCCCCTGCTGCTCATTCATATATGGAAAGCAAATGGCTCAAATGGATTCCCAGTCTGAGCTTACATAGGAGCTGACTATCTACCCACCTCCATGGGAAAGTTCTGGGCCAATCATCAATTACCAACTCTGTCCCATTTAGTGCGTCACATGCTCTGCCATATGCTAAAGTAACAGGTAGTTTCTTTGCTCCTAGCATCCATCTCTTTTACCAATTTATATTAGGCTTTTAGATAGTTCTAGGATTATAAATATTAGAAAATGTTGTTTAGACCAGAGTTCTGCTTTAATTTTATTTAATTTGTACATTGCCAGCACTGTCAGCTTTATTGCTCTAAAAATTGCTATAGAGAAGCCCCTTATACAGTCATGGCCGAAATTGTTGGCACCCTTGATATTTCTCCAGGAAAAATGTATTTCTCACGAAACGTATTGCATTACACAGTGTTTTGCTATACACATGTTTATTCCCTTTGTGTGTATTGGGACAAAACAAAAAAAGGGAGGAAAGAAAGCAAATTCGACATAATGTCACACAAACCTCCAAAAATGGGCTGGACAAAAGTATTGGCACCCTTTCACAACTGCGGATAAATAAGAATGTTACAAGCATGTGATGCTCCTGTAAACTCACCTGGGGCAAGTAACAGGTGTGGGCAATATAGAAATCACACCTGAGAAAGCAGATAAAAAGGAGAGACGTTCACTTAACCTTTGCATTGTGTGTCTGTCTGTGCCACACTAAGCATGGACAACAGAAAGAGGAGACGAGAACTGTCTGAGGACCTGAGAACCAAAATTGTGGCAAAATATCAACAATCTCAAGGTTACAAGTCCATCTCCAGAGAACTAGATTTGCCTTTGTCCACAGTGCGCAACATTTATCAAGAAGTTTGCAACCCATGGCACTGTAGCTAATCTCCCTGGTCGTGGACGGATGAGGAAAATTGATGAAAGATTGCAACGCAGAATAGTCCGGATGGTGGATAAGCAGCCCCAAACATGTTCCAAAGACATTCAAGCTGTCCTGCAGGCTCAGGGAGCATCAGTGTCAGCGCGAACTATCCGTCGACATTTAAAAAAATGAAACGCTATGGCAGGAGACCCAGGAGGACCCCACTGCTGACACAGAGACATAAAAAAAGCAAGACTACAGTTTGCCAAAATGTACTTGAGTAAGCCAAAAGCCTTCTGGAAAAAACGTCTTGTGGACAGATGAGACAAGGGATAGAGCTTTTCGGTAAAGCACATCATTTCTACTTGTTTACCGAAAACGGAATGAGGCCTACACAAAGAACAAAACACAGTAACCTACGGTAAAATATGGTGGAGGTTTCAATGATGTTTTTGGGGTTGTTTTGCTGCCTCTGGCACTGGGTGCCTTGACTGTGTGCAAGGCATCATGAAATCTGGGATTACCAAAGGATTTTGGGTCGCACCTGTAGGGCCCAGTGTCAGAAAGCTGGGTTTGCGTCCAAGATCCTGGGTCTTCCAGCAGGAAAAATGACCCCAAACATACGTCAAAAAGCACTCAGAAATGGATGGCAAAGAAGCGCTGGAGAGTTCTGAAGTGGCCAGCAATGAGCCCAGATCTAAATCCCATTGAACACCTGTGGAGAGATCTTAAAATTGCTGTTGGGAAAAGGTGTCCTTCCAATAAGAGAGACCTGGAGCTGTTTGCAAAGAAAGAGTGGTCCAAAATTCCGGGGTGAGAGGTGTCAGAAGCTTATTGATGGTTATAGGAAAGCGACTGATTTCAGTTATGTTTTCCAAAGGGTGTGCAACCAAATTTTAAGTTAAGGGTGCCAATACTTTTGTCCAGCCCATTTTTGGGGTTTTGTGTGACATTATGTCATATTTGCTTTTTCTGCCTCTGTTTTATATTTGTTCCAATACATACAAAGGGAATAAACATGTGTATAGCAAAACATGTGTTAATGCAATACCTTTTTTGTGTGAAATACTTGATTTTCAGGAAAAAATATCAAGGGTGCCAACAATTTCGGCCATGACTGTAAATGCTGTACTGTACCCAGCATTCTAGGCAGTAATTCCATTACCCACACTAGGAAAATGTTTTTTATCTC